TGCTGTGCATAGGGTCTCTATGATTCGGTACCAACTCAATGGCATCTAACAACAACAACATACACATGGACCTCACCAGATGGACTATCTAGGGATCAAATTGACTACATCTGTGGAAAGATATTGTGGAGACGCTCATTATCATCACTCAAAACAAGGCCAAGGGCAGACTGTGGACAATATGCAAATTCAGACTAAAGCTGAAGAAAATAAAACAATCCCACCAGAGACAAAATATGACTTTGAATTTATCAGTTTGTTGTACTGTGGTAGCTCTGGTATTGCTGTGATGCTGGAAGTTAGGCCACCATTGTTTTAGTATCAGCAGTGGCACCCATGGTGGGCAGGTTTCAGCTGAGTTTCCAGGCTAATACAACTAGGTAGAAGAAGAGGTGACTACTTCTGGATGTTTAGCCACTGAAAACCTTAAGAATAACAGTGGAACACTGTCAGATAGTACCAGAAAACTGTTTTTTTTCAACATTATGAATTGTGGTTAAGTGCCACTGAGTTGAATCCTACTCATAGAGACCCTGCATAGGGTTTCCGAGGAGCAGCTGGTAAGCTTGAACCACCAACTTTTGGTTCATACTGACCTTGCACATTAACCCACAGCACTACAGTAGGACTCCATGATGGACAGCACAGTAAAATTGTTAGTTATCATACTGGAAGATGAGCCCTTCAGGTTGGAAGGCATTCAAAATATGAATGGAAAAGAGCTGCCTATTCAAAGTAGAGTTGACGGTGATGACGTGAATGGAGTAAAGCTTTTGGGACCTTCATTTGCTGATGGAGCACAACTCAAAATGAGGAGAAACAGCTGTAAACATTCACTAATAATCAGGACAATGGACTGTAAGAAATATGAATCTAAAAAAACTGGAAGTTGTAAAAAATGAACTTAAAACACATAATGATCAATTTCCTAGGAATTAGGGAGCTGAAATGAACTGGTATTGGCCATGTTGATTCTCAAAATCACATGGTTTAGTATGCCAGGAATGACAATTGGAAGAGGTAGGTCATCGCATTCATCATCAAAAAGAGTGTCTCAAGATCTATCTAGTAAATATAACGCTATTGGGACAAGATAATATACATATGCCTACAAGGAAGACAGGTTAATACTATTATTCAAATTCACACACCAACCACTAAAGCCAACGACAATGAAGTTGAAGAATTTGGAGTCCTGGTGTAGTATTGCAGGACAAACATTGGAGTGTTAACCCCAAGATCGGTGGTTCTAAGCCACCAGGTGCTCCTTGGAAACCCAATAAAGAGTCACTACAAGTCAGAACAAACTTAATGGCAATTATTTCAATCATTTCATATGCATGTGAAAATTGGACAATGAATAAGGAAGACCACAGATGAATCAATGCATTTGAATTGTGGTGTTGGTGAAGAACACTGTAAGTACCATTGACTGCCAGTAAAAATTAGCAAATCTGAGTTGGAGGAAGTACAGCCAGAATGCTTTCTAGAAGTGAGACTTTGTTTCTCAGACTTTGGATATTAGGTCATTCTTTATTGATTACACCAAGGAAAGTCCCTGGAGAAGGACATCTTGCTTGATAAGGTGGAGGATCAGCAAAAAGGACGACAACCCCCTATGAGATGGAATGACATAGTAGCTGTAACAACGGGTTCAAGTACAATAGTTAGAATGGCACAGGACTAGGCAATGTTTCTGTCATACATAAGGGTTGCTATGAGTCAGAACTGACTCTATGGCACTTAAAAACAAGAGCTGCACATTGTAGTACTAGATGATATACATGGTGAATGTACTTGACTGCTAACAGAAAGTTAGAAGTTCGAGTCCACCAGAGGTATCATGGATGAAAGGTCTGGCATTCAGTCATTGAAAATCTTACGGCATACAGTTCTACTCTGATACCCATGGAGATGAATTCACTCAGTGGCATCTGTTTTTTTTTCCTATCTCTTGTACTTATGAGAGTACATACAAGGCTACTGTCAAAAACTCACTACTGTCAAGTAGATTTCAACTCACAGTAATCCTATATGACAGAGTAGAACTGCCCCACAGGTTTCTAAGGCTATAATCTCTACAAAAGCAGAAAGCCACATCTTTCTCCTACAGAATGGCTGGCAGTTTCAAACCTCCAATTATTTGGTGTGTGGCTGAGTGCTAAACTACTCTGTGCCCCAGGGCTCTCTGGTCTGCTGTTAGACTATTATGTCTAAGACAATATCGAGGCAATGAAACATAACAGAAATACCACAGATTCTGACATTTATTTACTTAACATGACAGCTTGGGAAATTGTGAATTTTCTTCTTCTGCTGTGTTCTTAAGTGTCATCATTTTCAAAAAAGTGAAGGAAATAATGCTGCTTTCCATAATTATACCTCATAAGGTTATAATGGGGGTTACATAAAATAATGTATATGAAAACACTCTGCAAAGTATAAAACTCTACACAAATACAAATTTGTATTGTGGGGAAAAAGTTAAATTTACCTTTATATGTTCTAAAACAGCAGTGGCAACGTTTGTATGGAGATCAATAAGTCTTTTTTTTTCAAGAAGTTCTGGCAAAGAACTACAAGTATCAAAAAATTGAAAGTTAACCATTACATTTTCTAACTAGGTGACATGAACATTAATAAACCTCACCATGAGCGTTTCCTCTGAGGAAACTCAGGACAGTGAAACAGTAACAAAATGATGAGTTAAACTTTCTATCGGCTGCATTTAATCTCTAGGCTTTAGCATATACAGTACTTAGTGCTTTAACACAAGTGAAATGCTTCTAAAATACTCCAAACTTCTTAATTTCCCCCATTTTATATTCCGATTCCTAAGTCTGGAGATACCAAATAAAATCAGACTAGTGAAAATATAATTTAGTATTTCTAAAACATTCTTTCCTCTCTCGTTCTTGATGGCATCCAAAGTATCCAAAAACTGTACTCTTCAGCTAGTAAAATAATAGTGGCAATGATAAAATTAATAACTTGCCTTCTTTATAACAAATATTATCTTCCTGGAAAAATGCTCCAATTATATATTTTGAACTAGTGAAAGCAGCAAATAATTTGCTACATCTAAGAGAAAAATATACCAACTTAAACGTGTTAAAGACACAGTTTAGTGCTTTAAACTCAAAAGTACATTTGCTATTACCTAGTATTTTCTATTATTAAAATATTGACCTATTTTTTAACCACAAAATAATCTGAATAGAAAGACTTCAAAGAAGATACACTGTTTACTTACCTAACAGCTGAGGTCAGCTTAGCAGTATTGTCAGAAAGCATACTTATAGCTCCTTCATCTTCCCCTTCTAGTCCCTGGGAAAGAAAAAAAGGTCACAATAATGCCTCAAAAATCCTAGGACCATGCATAAAAATAACACATTCCTAAGATTCTTAGAAATAGTAATATTCAGGTGACTTATAATAGAAATACTTATCTTGTAAGGACCATGTGTATACATTACTGACAGTTAATGATAACTTCTTGTTATCATTAGTCTAAATGATTGGATGACCTAAGAAAGGATTAGCTAACATTTTCAGATGAAGAAATAGGCCTATAGACTTGCCACGGGTCACAAGGTTATAAAGAGCTGAAATCTGAAATTAAAGTAAAGTAGAATAGCATTGTTATTCTATTAATCTATTTCTAAAACTAAGTAACACTAAATACTATAGTACTTATAGTAAGCAGCTCTGGTATAGTAGGTTGGTAGTTCAAATGTTATCAGTTGCTCTGCTGCAGGAAAAAGGAGGCTTTCTGTTTCCGTAAATATTTATAGCCTTGGAAACACTATACAGGGTCATTATGAGTCATAACTGACTCGGTGGCACACAACTAACTACTACTATTACTACATACTATATGGAGTCATGGTGTGGCATGTGGGTTAATGCGCTGGATGGCAAAGTCGATTTGAACTACAAGGTTGTGGGTTCAAATTCACCAGTCTCTCCTTGGAAACCCTATATAGGGTTGCTATGAGTTGGAACTGACTCAATAGCACTTAACAACAATATACTATATGGGGGGCATGATAGCTATGTACAATAAGCACTGAGCTGTAAACTATAAGGTTGGCAGTTTGAGCCCACCAGCCACTCCTGTGTGAGAGACAAGGCCTTCTGTTCCCACAAAGATTTATATAGCCTTGGAAACTCTATACAGGATCACTAAGAATCGGAACCAGCTTATCGGGGCTTAGCAACAACTTATACTATATTGAGTCCTAGTGTGGCACTGTAGGATAAGCAAGGACTAGTAACCTCAAGGACTGAGGTTCAAACCCACAAGTCAATCCTTGGAAACCCTATACAGGGTCACTATGAGTTGGACTATGAATTTGAGGACTAAAGTGTGCCTAACCCAAGCCACAGTATTTTAAATTGCCTCATATGTATATGAAAGTTGGACAATGAATAAGGAAGACAGAAGAATTGATTCATTTGAGTTACAGTGCTGGATAAGAATACTCAAAGAGTGTGGCAAGACCTGGGGACTCTTGGGCCTAGAGTCAGTGACACAGCCACAGAGGTCTAGAGTGGAGAGTGAAGCATCTAGTTGATAAGATTAGACGACATATGCACAAGAACACCCACACTTGCAGATAATACCCACTTGACCTGGCTTTAATGACTGGATGATCAGAGCTCAACCAGAAGAAGAAAGAAGAGGGAAAAAAAGAGTAATCTGATACAATTTGATTAACTTGACCTACACCTATGGAGGCAGTAGCTCAAAAGAGGGAACAAATCCTTACAGCAAGAATTATTCCCACCCCCTCCACACACAGAGTAGACAGGGATAGGCAACTTGGACATTGGTTACCCAAAATGGGTGGGGGGGCTACAAAGGCAAGAAGTTACTGGCTTACAAGCTTTCAAGAGGGAACCTAGATCCAGAGGGCCTGGAGGAAGGTAGAATCTCCAGTGAGTAGTATCCAATCTGTCTAGGCAGGGCTGATGAAATAAAATGCAAATAGGTCTCTTATGATACAATAGTGAATAATTGTTATCAGGACTGATTGTGAAGGTTGGAAATGTAAAGGTAGACGTTTTACAGCAAGGAGGGGAGTGATTAACTTTTCAATCTAGGAGCGGAGGTCCCTGGGACCATCAAGGGAGAAGAGTGGAGAGCAGGACCCTACCCAGAGAAGCAGTGATGCCTGAGATGGAAACAGAGATGATGACGTGGAGAGATGGAGCAGCTGGGGACTTGAGATCCAGAGAGGGAGAGGAACTGTGTGCTGAAGACTGGGGGAAGGGGAGTAGTATAGGGGGCAGGCTTGCAGGGTATACCCTTTGGTTGGCTGATGATGCATGGAGGGGAGTGTAACCATGGCAATGAAACAATATACGACAGAATGAATGTAAAACTAATGTTCTTCCATGTAAACTATCACATAATTCACAATAAAACATTTACTTAAAAAAGAATACTAAAAGTATTGTGGACTTGCTAGAAGAGCAAATAAATCTGTGTTGGAAGAAGTACCACCAGAATGCTTCTTAGAAGCAAAGGTGGCCAGGCCAGCCTTCATCTCTCATACTTCAGACATATTATCAGGAGGGACCAGTCCCTACAAAAGGATATTATGCTTGGTAAAGTGGAGGGCCAGAGAATCAGAGGAAGACCCCTAACAAGATGGATTGGCATGGTGGCAAGCAGCAATGGACTCAACAATTGTGAGGAAGGGCATAGATCAGGCAGTATTTCATTCTGTTGTATATAGGGCTGCTATGAGTCAGAATTGACCCGATGGCACCTAACAACAACAATAACAACATGAGTCAGAGCCAACTTGATAACACTTTTAATAACCTAGTGTGGCGCTGTAGGATCAGCACTGGAATGCAAACCACAAGGTCGGTAGTTCAAACCTACCAGCTACTCCTTAGAAACCTTATGCAGGGTCACTATGAGTCAGAAGCAACTTGACGGCATTTAACAACAACAATATACTATGTATTTTTTCAAATCATAAATTCATATTATTCTTTTATAAATTTGTGCTCTTCTCATTATTACGATTTAAAAAATTTTTTGGACACTTGATGCTTATTTTTCATTAAACTTAAGAGATGGTGGAGGACCACCTTAAGATCACTCAGTGGTTGCTACTACCCACTCAGTAGTGGGTACTGCTTATATTTTTAAAAGCTTTTTTTTAAATGTAATTTGAGAATACTTTTGTTGTTATGAGGAAAAAAGTTTCTCTCCAGCTGTGATTCGCTTCCCTATAATTCTTAGAAAGCAAACAATCTTACCATAATGCTTTTAAGTCGTTTGACCTCATCTTCTTGCGCTCTGTAAGATTCTAGTTCTTGCTGAACTGATTCTGCAACTTCTGGGAATGGACTAAAACAATATTGCACAAGAAAAATGATTAAAAAACTGATTTCTTTGAGAAATGTGACATATATAAGTATATAATGAGGACTGGTATTGTTTTTTGAACTCCTGATTTGGCACTATAAGACAAGCACTGGACACTTAACCACAGGGTTGTTGGTTCAAATCCATCAGCTGTTTCTCAGAAACACTGTACACCGTCACTATGAATCAGAAGTGCTCGACAGCACTTAGCAACAGTATTATTTTTAATGCACTTATTTAGATGTAAATATAGCTGATATCT